CCCCTATTCACAACACCATTGTTACCAACTTCACGCGCTTCAATTGCGACTTCATTCGATAACTGCGACGCTGAAGGCTATTTTGCGAAAGCATAACGTCATCTCATACCACTTACGATTGTTGAGTAACATACACAATGACAGACACTGAGATCCAGCAAGGAGACAAAGGTATGCGCTTCTTGTTACATTCGCTTCTTCTCAACCCAAACGCGCGCATGGCAAACCTTTGCCCGGCGCATCAAACGCACTAGCGCGCAAATGGCGCATCGCCGCGCGTTCTCGAAGGCGAGATCGCATCCACGATCCCTCCCTTCTAGCCATACGGGACATTAGCTAACGTATCTTTCATCAGTCTCATGGAACTGGGGTTCAGGAAAGCCCAGCGGCACCATTGGTGAAGTCAAGGAGCAAGGTGAACTTGCCATCGAGTCAAACCGCGGCAACACTATTAAGAAGAATGCCGATCCGGAGAACCCTGCAGTTCACGTCGAGAGGTCTGGTAACGATGTTGTAAAGCGCGCGTCCGAACTTGAAATCGAGGAAAAGGCCGATGGTGCCAACGGTGCCCAGACCAACGGCGACTCCAAGGAAGAAGACAAGAAGGACGAAGAGAAGAAAGAGGATAAGCCAGCAGATTCAGAAAACAAGGCTGAGGACAAGTCGGCAGCGGAGGAGAAGAACGACGAGGAAAAGCCAGCAGAAGAGGAGAAGAAAGACGAAGACAAGTCAGCTGAGGAGGAAAAGAAGGATGAAGAGATGAAAGATGCACCGGCTGCCGAGGAGAATAAGGAAGAGCCTACGACTAATGGCGACTCCAAGGCAGAGGAGTCCAAGGCAGAATCAAAGGAAGAGACCGAGAAGGATGCCACAGAGGACAAGTCTAACGAGAAGCCCACGACCGACAAGAAAGAGGACGCTCCCAAGACCGGCTCCAAGCGCAAGGCCGAGGAATCGCCTGCTAAGAATAACGGTGCTGACGCCGACAATGATAAGCCTGCAGAGAAGAAGACAAAGACTGATGACGCCGAGGCGGAAGGCGAAGAGAAGGCTGAGACCAAGCCCGCCCCTAAGAAAGGTGGCCGTCCCAAGAAGGAGAAGAAGGAAACCGCAAAGAAGAAGAAGGAGCCTAAGAAGGCCGCTACTGCTGACGGCCAACCGCGTCGCAGTGGCCGAAACAAGGCTTAGACGATCAACAGACTGTCGACAATCCTTGCAGCAACAAATAAGGCAATGGTCTACTCAATGTGGACGTCTCTCTCGTTAACCTCGTGAACCACGGCGCACACTTTCAAAATTCTAGGGAAAAAATTACAAGCATGTCTCTCAATGCTCGGTATGTAAGGCACGGATATGGGTGGTTGGATGGACGGATATGGAAGGAGGGCTCGGGGCGGCGCTGAACGGCTTTGCATTTCGCTCTTCGCGAAACAGTATTTTTCCGTTTCTGGTTTCCATAGCTTAGGCTTCTCTTATTGTTGTTGTACAGTAGTATCCGTATTGTTAACTTTATTCACCGCATTTGTTTTCTCACGGACAGACAGATATCTATATACATAAGGGAAGGAGGGAGGGGAACAAAGGCGGAGCATGGAAGCTAGGTATTATTGGATGAATGCTATGAATGAAAATATATATCTCATGTTGGAAGTCTGGTTCTGTGATGAAGAGGTCTTTGTCAGCGATGTCGGTCTGAAAAGATGTGTGAAATGCAAGTGATGTGTGAACTCGAGGTATCAGTAAGGAAATACTCATTCAATAAGACCCGTGAAAAGTCTCTCCGATCCGTCTTGAAACTTGTGATTTATGATATTCATCATTTCGAGCTGTGTAGAGGGAATAAGGAAGAGCTACGTACCTGGTTGATTGCGCGTTGGTGGCAGGGCGACAACAGAGGTTAGTGAGATATTGAATGGCGCATTATCGTGAGCAGTACTGATGCATGACACGAAGCATCGTTTGGGGTGCGCGTCGGTGTTGATGTGGGATGGGTGTTGTTGAAGGCTCTTTCGGTTTTTGTGGAGCGAGGGGCTTGGCGGTGCAGGGACCACCGCGCCCGAGGAATGCGACTTGAGGAAAGCATCGCGTCTTCTCTGACATACTTTTGGTGTATCTTCTATTATTTGCTAAGCAATTGTTGGTAAAAGAGTTCGTTAAGTACATGCATTCGTTGGCGGGAGAACTGCGGGAATCTCCAGGTACACGCGATCCTTCCGCATTGGGGAAATGGGTGGGCGACAGAGGACAGGACTCAACCGCTTTAGACGATTCTCATGACAATCTGCAATGCCTCTTCTCATGCATCATTCAAATTGGCACATTGACAATTGCGATACTTATCTCTGGATAGTAAGAAGAATCAACTGTCACCCCACAACAACTTCTGTCGCCTACACTTTTACCTTCAACGTCCAGCGCCTTCCCACACATGCCCACCTACTAAACATAAAGCTAATCAGACTCAACCCAAGAATCGCACAGAAGAAAGCCACCATCGGCTGTGGTCCAACCGTCTCTACGAGTTCTCCACTGATGGGAATGCAAACCAGTGTCGCGAGAGAAGCGATAAAGTACATGCTTCCGTAGTACCTGCCAAACTCTTCCGCCCTGCACAACTGCCCTACACATGCAGGCGTTAGAGCCATCCAGGAGCCTGTACCGAATCCGAAGAGTGCCGCAAAAGCGTAGAGTGCCGGTAGCGATTTTGTACCAAGAGGCAACCAGAGTACCAGCATCCAGAGAAGAGTGAAGATGATCATAACTAAAAGCGTATTGAATCGTCCAATCTTATCTGCAGCATATCCTGGGAGCAGGCGTCCAAGGCAAGAGACTCCGTTAAGTACTGAGATAAGGTAGAAGCCTGTATCTGGTGGAAAGTCGGTGCTCAACGTTGCGTACGTGGGCAAGATTCCCAAGCCTCCAAACAAGACGATCTCGAAACCAAACACGGTGAGAGTTAAAAGACTCAGTCTCAAATCACCGTATATGGAAAACGAGATGATGGCTTTGTTCTTCGCTGCGGCTGATGGCGGGATACGAGCTTTCATCAGTATATTGGCGATGATGAAGCAGAACAGGAAGGTAAAGCCCAGGATGCGGAGTGACCAAGTATACCCGTACTTTGGGAGGGTTGTTCGTAACACCAGAGGAATGGTCAAACCGGCAGCGGAGCTACCCATCATGGCGATACCTTGCGCAAGACCACGACGTTCCTTGAACCAATGCGCAACCACTGCCAGACTCGTCGTGGTCAGCATTGCACCAGAGAAACCTCCCAATATGCCGCAGCAAAGAATCATCTGCCAGAAGTTGTTGCACTCAGCAAGCAAGAAGATCATGAGCAGGAAGGCTACACTTCCAATCAGTGCAATCCATCTCGGTCCGTATCGATCGAACAGCGGTCCCACCCAGATTCCCAGCGCGAGTGAAAGATACACAAAGACCGACGGTATCCAGCCAATATCTCTTGCCGACATATCCTTGAGCTGATTCTGACCCCAGTAATCCTGTAACGTCCCAATAGAAACCATAAATCCGAATGAAGGGAACAGCATCAACCACGCCGATGCGACAACAAGCCAAGCACGCAGACCGCCCTCTGGAAAGTCATCCTCAGCATCCACAATTGGTATCCCCGACTCTTCTTCACCCAACTCATCAATCTTCTTCGTTCGATGCGACCGAGTCCGTCCCTGTGAGGGAACTTCCATCTCTTGATGTGTAGACTTCCTTATGTCGCTGCCGGCCTTCGACCGTCCAGTAAGTCTTGACATTGTGTGTCTCAGATCACTCCAAATTTCCTCTGGTTCTGTCTGCATTCTGCTGTCGCTCACACTCTGTACGCCGTGTATCTGAACAGCTGTAGGATTGGCAATTGGGTCCATCTCGACTACTCTTTAACTCCCTCTTCTTATGCGTTTCAAGAAACTGGTAACACTTGCGTCAAGTGCCTGTAACGCGAGCCAAGATTTGCTCACACTGATAAAGTATGGCCATCGCCCACAACCTTATACATCAACACTGGATTTCTAATCCTCATCCAGTAGATTAGCGCGGCGCAACACGCATGTATGACAGCAAATATATGCACAAGGCGTGTTGAGCGATAGTAAGTGCGCCCTATCGGCAGGAAGACATTGAGTGGAGCAAGTGCGTCTAGGCCTGCCCCGCCACGACCAGCCTTTGGTAGATCGGACCTAGTCAGGTTTGCGAGCACCACAGGTTTGTATGAGCAATAACAAGTGGAACATATTACTACAGGAAGAGCTTAGAAGATTGCTGACTGGTAGTGTGTTACAATATTTGTGAGTGCAGATGCCATGCACGTGTGGCAAGATGGAGACGGGCACCGGTAAAGGATGGCGAAGTCTGCTATAGTTGCTCAAAGACCTGACATTTGCCTTTTCATCTGCATGAGCGGTGCGATCTCTTTGGATGAGTATACCACAGAATGTCATTTGACGGCCCCGAAATATCATATGTTTCATTATTCGTATCGCGATGGTATTGCAGACGCAACGGCCCTCCAAAAGCTTTTCTAAAAGCTGTTGAGTATCCATCCATTGCCTTTACATATTGCTGTGCAGACTTTTGATGATTGCTACCGTCTCATCTTGTAAGCGTTTCACCAGAACACCGGCATCTTCAACACTGTGCACAAGTCCAATCGCAGCCCCTGCGTATGTAGCCAATCTCCCATCCGGGCCCCAACCGTCATCCCCAGACTTCGCAGCTTCGTCGTGGAGTTTCTTCAGCTCCTCAAACGGAACACCAGCTTGGTGATCTTGCCAGCTCTTATTGACAATTCCACGAGGGCTGTACTGCTCAGGCCAGCCCATCGTCCCTCGAAGGTGATTGTACAGCATCGTTTTGGTTGTAGATTGAGCACCATCGGTGGCGCGCACGACTTCCTTCTGGTATCCCTTGCTGATGCGGGCCTCGGTGGAGGCGAGAAACCGAGTGCCCATAGCTACGCCATTCGCTCCGAGGGCAAGAGCAGCAGCTATGCCGCGACCGTCGGCAATACCTCCAGCAGCAATCAAGAGCATACCAGAGTCGCAGACTTGATCTGCCACCTCGGGAAAGAGGGCCATGATGCCCATGCCGTCGGTTGCCCTCCCATGACCCCCTGCTTCTGCACCTTGTATGACTAGCACATTTGGTCGATGAGCGCTTTCCGCAGCTTCAACACTCTCTTTCAAAGTTCCTATCTGTATCCAAATGTGAATACTAGGAGACACCTCCCTCAGCCTCGCCGTCCATTTGTCAAGCTCCTTTTGTCCATGACGAGGTGCAAACAACCATGCAGCACAAGGTTGATGCTCCTTTACAGCCTTGGACGCTGAATCAAGGTCTCCGTTCCAAAGCTGGAACCCGACGCCCACGGGCAACCTCTCCCCAGATTGAGACCATCCTGGAAATGAGGTTTCTTTCGCGGAGTTCAGCAGCTCTCGAACTGTCTTGAGGTCTGTACCGGTATCTTCTGGCTTCGCACCAGGGCCGATAAAACCCAGCCCGCCAGCTTTTGATACGGCCAACGCCAGATGAGGCCCAGACATGACGCGCATTGGCGCTCCGACAATGAAAGGCGAGGTAATCCAAGGGAAGACATTTGTGAGTTTCACACGGCCGCTGCCGGAGCTTATTGCTGTGCGAACTGTATTCATCTTGAAATTATACTTTTATTGAGACGCAAACGATGGCATAGCCTAGGAACGTGGTGAAGGCTCACTCATACGGAAGTGACGACCTCGGGATTCTGGTAGGCGGAATCGCGCTGGTACTCCTGCAAGCAATTGATGGCTTAATTCGACCATGAACGTCATCTGTGTCACATGCGCTGAAGTTTTCCGGGCATCTCCACGGATAAAGCGCTTCCCAAGGTTGTTGTCATGTTCGCGTCCGCGATGCATGACCCATCGGCGTCTACGGCGTTCAGATGACTAATGAGGAGGCGGTTCTGTTCAACCTCGGTTGTTGGTTGAGAAGACAAAACAACAAAAAACGACTACTTTGGAATTCATGTCTAGCGTTCTAAATATGTTACTGTAGGGACTGGCCTTGTTCATACGAGGCTGGCACCCTGCTAGTAGTTAAGCATTCTAGACACATCATGAGCACCACGACGTTACGTTTCTGTCACCTGAATTACTCTATTGTATTACGTATAACTAATTACAAACTTTCTGAAAAGAAAAAAAAGCGGATTAAAAGGCCACCAAGCATGTACCGTCGCGGGTGGGCTATCTTGTAAGCCATTGCTGGCTCTTCAAAGTCAATAATGCTGCTAACGACGTCCATGTAATGAAGCTTGAATGGAAAAACATAGCAAGCCCCCCATACTGCAACCGCCAAAGCAACCGTTCCTTGCGGCCATAGATCTTCAGCTCATCCATTTCTTTCCCCCAATAGTCTATCTTGACAAACTCTTCTCGAGTTGAATCATCGTCTCGCGTATCGTCTCTCTTGTCACCACAATCCGCATAGAAGAGAAGAGTACGGAACCCTGCTAGCAGCAGTGTACTTATACACCCGAGAAGCATAACTTGAGGCCGCAAGCTGATCGTTGAGGCTTGGGAGTAGACAAGGAAGGGGAAGAGTAAGTTGCCGACGGCTGTGGAAGTCATGTTGACAAGCAAAAACAAGCTGCCCAGAACCGACTTGGCAACGTTGAGGAGACTCATCGGAGTATACACTACCTCCTCTTTCTCATCGACACCCAGCTCTTTTGTTATTTCGTCACCCTTGATGTTGTTCCGAAAATGCGATGTTAGCTGTTTGACAATGGCTCTCACAGCAACTTGGAAGAAGCCCAAGCACAGATAAACGTAGGAGCTTCGTTCCCAGCGCGTGTACATGAGAAAAGCCCGACGAGCGCTCTCTGGGGCGATGGTATGCACAACAGCATTGCTTTGATAAACCGTTGTCCAACCGCTACGCAGCAGCCCTAGTGTCAGTTCGACGTCCTCGCCGTGATTGATTGATGAACCCAGGAAAGTAGTTTCGCGGAGGCCGGCGAACAAAGGTCGGATCGCGACAGTTCGATATGCTGAGAGTGCGCCGGGGAGAATGGTGACAGCACCGCATGCGCGCGACTGTGCTGCTCGAGGAGTGTTGCCGCTCGACTCGAAGAGTATGTCGAGGAGACGCGGGATGAGTTTACCATCCACGTTGAGAGCACTGAGATGGCCTGCCACACCTCCGATGCGTGCATCAAGCACCATGGGGGCCACCAAGTTCGACAGAGAGCTGCGCTCTAGTACACTGTCTGAATCCAGAGAGACGATGAAATCGCCGTTCGCAATTGAAAAGCCGGATATGATTGCAGATCGCTTTCCCATGTTAGTGTCGTGTTTGACGGTACGATAACGGATTCCAGCGTCGACGTACACTGTCGCAGTGTCGGAAATGTGGTCCCACGAGTCGTCTGAAGAGCCATCGTCCACAACAACGACTTCAAGTCGATGTTTTGGATAAGACGACTGTAAGATGGAATGTAGAGCGTAGCGAACAAAGTGTGATTCGTTGTATACTGGGATTACAACAGTAATGTTGGGCAATAGCTGCCTGTCTGTGGGTGGAACGGGTGTGTACGCAATCCACCATAGGATGGTCCAAATATGGTCGACTGTGGTTAGAAGAAAGACGAGAGCGAAAAGAATCTGTATTGGGGTCGCAAAACTAGCCCACGGATTGCGAAGGCCGTTCCATGCATACACGGAACCGCACGTGGCCAACGCGCCAAGAATGCTCAAGAGTCCGCAAATGGTTCGACTAGGCATATTTGCGTTAGTCGCGAAGTGAGAAAGATAATTAGAAAAACAAAGTACTGGTTCCTCAAGTCATTGAGCAGCTCGGAATATTTGTAGAGATGCACGTCGCATACAACAGCCCTTTGCGCTGAACCGCGACTTGTTTCTACACTGCCAGATTCCAATCGGGCCTTTACGGGTGAAGCAGCTGAAGTACGACACTAGAGTTACACGGGAACTTATATATAGTGTTTGATACGAGCTCCCGTTGTCCCGTTGCTGCTATACTAGCTGCTACGTCTTATTTCCCTAGTCTCGGATAGTCCCGTGTCTCAGGCACGACTCGTCTGACAGGACTAACTCCAGGTACTTATCCTGCGTACTACTTTTCTAGAGTCATTCGGAGACGAAACGCGACAGTGTGACGGGTTTGAAGTCTCCGGTTGTTTGGTAAGGTTCCATAAATTGTGACAAGTATGCAAGGAGAGAGAAGCATGACTCGCCGTTGTATCGTATGCCGACATTGGTTACGGACGTATGCTATGGTACATGGGAATAACCCCCATGTTTTAATAAGGTGCAAGGCTAGCATCATCTTCGTGTTCTCCTGGTGAATGGAATCCACCGGAGATTTATGGATTCTTGGATCCTTCCTGCCAACGGGACAATCGCAGTCCAGAGTGAAGGAGCTTGAATAGTGAAAGAATGGGCCCTGTAGTACATAAATCTGGGGGATTGATGGAGTTCCATGGGTATTACAAAAGTTTCATACCTCAAGCGACAAGTGTCACCCACAGGCGGCCCAAAACTCTGCTCTTGAACGAAACAGGAGAAATAATTGCAGCTACGACTTGGACCTGGTCTGAGGTTGGACACATCCACCAAACATGTATCTCTCTGAAATCTATATCTTTCTCCGAACTAGGCCTCTGAAGAAATCAAAACTGTTGCTGTCACTTTGCAAGGCGACTATCCTGCCTGTGGGACGGTCCTCGTACCCTAGTTCCTCGGCTAAAAGTAGCCCCCAGTCACGCGTGATACCCTTGATTTTCGCCTTGACGCCGCCCTCGCTCTCCAGCGTCACTTGTTGGTCCATGTGGATCCAATAATCGTAGTACTCGGCTTCCATGTCCCGGTTGAAGCCTGTGGAGCAGAATTCCGTGTACAGCGATTCAAACTGCGTGAGAATGGATGCGAGGAGCTTTTCATTAGTGAATGGCTTCAGCGGCGGAACTTGTGAGGAGGCGAGGAGGTTGAGGGATGTGGTGGGTGCAGGGTTGGAGAGATTGATGCCGATACCGGCTATGATGTCGTAGGTGGAGCCAGAGTAACTGCTGTTTACGAGGATACCACCGATTTTCACGAGAGGATTGTTGGAGGAGCCTGGCAGTTGGGCATAGATGTCGTTTGGCCACTTCAGTTTTACGGGGATGTCCTGGTAACCTGGGGCGTAGGTTTTGATACCTCGAATGATGGCCAGGGCAGAGAGATACTGGATGAAAATGACAGGGGCGCTTTGGCTTAGGGCGAACGAGTGCCGGAGGACTGTGGAGAACATGAGAGCACCTGGAGGTGCGACCCAGACGTTGCTTCCTCGACCCCGGCCAGCGATTTGCGTAGTTGCGGTTATGGTGAAGCCGTTGGGTAGTGTGCGAAGCAATGACGGGTTCTTCTCTAGTAGGGTGTTGGTGGACGTGACTACCTCGGCATACATCAAGTGTTTGCCAAACGACGCGTTCGGGTTACGGAGCTTGTTATGGTAGAAATGAAGGTTGGAGTAGAAGGCCTCGTGGTGGAACGGTATCTCGCTTGACGATGGAAGCTGTTTCTCATGCGGTACAATAGATTTTACAACCTTGTCGTAGTCCAGGATCTGATCGGAATTGTTGATTGCAGTGTATTCGATACACTCTTGTATTTCCTCCTCTTTCGTCTTGAGCTTCTTCTTACCACTGCTCTCATCTACTGCTTCGCCTTGCTCTTTGCTTTCATGTGTTACTGCTGAAAGCGTAGGCAGTCTTTCTGACATGGCACTGACCGCTCTCTTCAGTTCCTTCATACCCCACACTGTACCCTCTTTCTCAATGCGGAAGACATCATTTTCTCCCTTGATGTACTCGTCACCATCAATCACAGTGAGGATTTCAGTCCATTTCGCGACGATCTCGGTGACGTCTGCAAGATTGTGAGCTGTGAGATGTAGACGGGAAAGGGACGGTACCGCTTGTTCCTGCTCATTGACTTGCAAGCCAAGTTTCTCAAGGATCAAGCGCATAAAAGCCAGTCGGGTAGCGTCGGTAGCGGTAATAGCTTCGATGACTGTTTCGTATGATGGCAGGCTCGGGATTTTGCTCAGATTCTGTGGGGCGATTCTTCCTAACTGTCAGCAGAGAACACAGCAAATGTTGTGATGGCATTACTCTGGATGCGGACCAGTAACCACAGCGTAGCCTTCACCAACTTTCCGATACACTACTGCAGCCTTGCTGTCGCCTGGGTCGACATGCAAATCTTCCGTGTAGCTGGCCAGAATCTGCACACCTCTATTCTCCAGCTTCTTGGCATCAACAAAGACGCCACCTCCGTTGTAATAACTCTTGAATGTCTCCGCAATTCCATCATTCACATTATCGAAGGCGCTCTTGTGGATCTTGATATCTGCAGCCCTTGCACCAGCTTCACTAGCATATTTGAAGCCATCAAAAGCCAGCCCTCGGCAGATACCCGGGAAGAAGGCCAGCTCGCGATCGCCTTCAACAGCCATCTTGGGATCATCAAGTTCGAACTCGCATTTTGCACTGCCGTAGTAGCCACCTGCGCAGAAGCCGAGATAAGAGCCACCATTGTTAACATAGCGACTGATACGACGGTTACCCTCCCCATTGAGAGTGCGGCAGTAGCCTAGATCAGCCCCTCCAGGGAACACAAGCAGGGCGCAAGTACTAAACCAGGGCTGGTTGATGATGATGTCGCCAGTGACAGGGATGACGGCATAGGAGGGGGACAGAAGCCGCCTCAAGGTATACAGGCAGTGGCGGACAGATTCCGTGGTACTGCCATTTCCTTTGGATGAATCAGCGTTCCAGTCAACATTTTGCAAAAAATACGCATACCTGAATAGACCAAGACATTCAACTTCTTAGTCGCCATGATGCTCGGGATCGTGACGTTCACCACCGGACCGAGTTTGTCCGACCGTGCTCAAGGTACAATCAATCTGCGCAGCTTCCACTTGACTTTACACAACCAAATCCAATTCCAAAGCTCTTCTAAAATGTCAAACGATGACAAGGCACGCGCGGCAGCTGCACAGCTGGTGATTGATGATGAACCTGATGACTGGTAGGTTTTCAATGCGGAGAGCCGGGAAAGAGCGAATGGCTGACTAGAACATTAGGGACAAGCGCATCTACAGCACGGGCTGTGCGGGTACGTTGGCAGATGCGAAACCCGAGCCAAGCTCCAACTTACTCCGATCAGATGAGAATGCGAAATTGACGGACTGTTACTACGAAAAAAAGGATTGGCGAGCCTGCAAGCAAGAGGTACGAATTTGAAGGTTGGGTCCAAGCCGAGAAATGACCGAACCCTGGTACCATCGCCAACACTAACACCATACTGTTAGATGGAGATTTTCCGCCAATGTTGGCAGCGACATGGCAACGACAAGCGGACAGCTTCAAAAGACGCTTGATTTTAGGAGCAGTTTGTTCCCGTGTACGATTATGTGTAATACCGAAGTAAAATGTACTAGCTGCTTGAATGGCTCTTGTGAGCATCACTTGGGCACAGGTCTACCTATCTGTCATGAAGCCGAACCCGTAGTGCTGTTACCTGAGAATAGAGAAACGGAATGGAATAATATTAAAAAGTAGCTGTGTTTCCAAGCCAACACTATCCATCATTCATTCCTAATAGACGCTGCCACCAAGCAAGCGCCTTGTTCATCGGGATAGCTATGTAGTCGATGTAGACTCTTTAAGAGGCCGAACCCCGTTCACAGCGCCACGAGCTCATGCCTATGCGCGATCTATCGGGACTCGAGAGAAGGTGAAACGACAACATTGAGCTGTCTCACTTGCGTTCGTAGATTGGGGGAACAACAGTCGGGTGGTAAGGCGACTTGGCAGTGGTCGCCTTCTGTTTGTCGAAAGTCCACACACCGTTCGTTTGGCCGTCGTTGATGCTCTCGCCAATCTTAGTCGCCAACTGCTCAAACTGTGGGTATTCTTTGGCGCGAGAGAAGAACTTGCGTTCCCACTCGCGACCCTCGTCTTTTTCCTCTTGTCTCATCTCCCGTTGGCGGGTCTCAATGATTGTCTTCTCGGACGAGGTCAGATCCATGTTGCCACTGTTGATGGCGTCAGACACCTTCTTCCAGGCACGCCTCGTCTCGAAGTCGTCTTGCTCCTCAATTGGGGCGACAGTGAGTGGAGTCGTCTTGGTGGACTTGTGATCGAACGTGTCCACGACGGCCTTTGTCTTGGCGTCCCTGATCTGGAAAGCATCGGACCATTGACCGTCTAGTTTGTAGATGGTTTCCTTCTCCTTGCCCTCGGGGTAAAGTACGGCGGTGAAAGAGTTCTTCTTTCCCGAGACCCAGCCCTTGCCGCTATAGTCGATGCGCGCAGTGTATCCGGTAGAAGACTGGATGTAGGTGCAGCCGTTAAGCTCAACATATGGCGAGCCTGTGATAAGGCCTTCGATGTGTAGGGCAGGAAGGGTGATGAGATAGCTCTCATTGTACGCGTCAAGGTGAAGCATGGCATGGCCGATTTGCTATCATGAGTCAGTATTGTGCAAGTCGGGAATGCTCGGGGATTTAGTCACCTTGACATTGATGGTGGTCTTGAATGACGCCTTTTGCGCATTGTAGCCCTCGAGCCGGACGCCATGCTTGTCGTTCCAGATGGAGTAGGCGGTGACTGGTGGGTGGTGACTGAGCGCGTGACATTAGCGCTCGCGTCCACAGAAATCAATCCCGCCAGTGCTAGGCTAGGGGTCGTAAACCAGTGGTAGCAGCTACTTACCTAACTTGCTCACTCACAAGGTGCGTTGTGCCTGCCTCATCCTCCCATTTCCCGAGGAACAGCTCGCCCAAAAATGGATTGAGAGGCTTCTTCTCGCTCCCCAGCTTTTCCGACCGACTAGCGTATTGCTGCTTCAATGTGCTCAGAAACCACTTCAACACCAGCACAGCGCGCTTGGCAGGGTCCTTCTCGGCGGCTGGTGCGACAAAGACGGAAGGGTGTTCGGTCCAGTAAGACGAGAATTCGGTGAGGGACTTGGTCGAGAGGATAAAAGCAGGCGCCGTCATAGTAGAGAGGTCGCCATTGAAGGATGCGATGGACTAGGCTGGTATGAGTATTTCATACCTTGTCGGGGGTGGCGACTATAAAATCGTACCTTGAGAAAGCTCGTCCAGGAGCTTTTTGCCTGCGGTGGCACAGCGGAACCCTCTTTCTCAGCCATGTTTGCGAATTACTTTGGAGGCGGCGACTATCGATGTCTTCTCAAAGGATATGTTTGTAGGAGCCTTTCGCTGGGGTTGTTGCGCGTATATAGGGAGACGTGAAAGGAAAGGCGGGGGGTTCAAGGTGTTGGTTGTGGGGAGCATTGGTGCCCTGTGTTATGGAGATCACTGTTTAAATTGGGAATGACGTCGCCGAGCTAAGCCACGCCGCAACACCGGGCCACCCACGCCATGCCTCTTGCCCGGGCAGCGGCGCCTAGTATTTGTGCATCACTAATGATTACACATTCTTGCAAATCGAACCTCTTGACTTGTATTGATCTGGGAACTTAACAGCGGGTTAATAGGTATTGCACCTTGGGCTGCTAGGTACATGCGTGCAGATTTGGGCCATCATTTGTACGGCGAAACTACTTGATTGTTATTTCGTCTGCTATGTACTATGCCATAATCATGCTGTCATGTACTATTTATCTAGCCATGCTAATTACATCCCGACACCATGTCGACACGCGCTTACGTCTTGACATCGGGCTCGGTACGGCCAATATACTCTTGGAGCTTCAAGAGGTCCGTCGCGAGCTTGACGTTGTCCTTTAGGTAGTCCTGGGCGTCCATGTCATATGTAGACTCGTCGCTGGTATGCTTCTCAATGTACAGGCGAATGGTGGCGCCGCTGCTACCTGTACCAGACAGGCGAACGACGATGCGGCTACCGTCATCGAACTTGACAAAGATACCCTGGTTCTTGCTGACACTGCCGTCAAGGTCAGTGTATGAGAAGTCGTCTGCCTCGACAACCTTGCGTCCAGCGACGGTTGAGCCGACAAACTCGTCCTTCTTGGTGGTGATGAGCTCCTTCATGTGGCTGGTAACCTTGTTGGCGCCCTCGGTCTCACAGCCCTCGTAGTCGTAGCGGGTGAAAAAGGTACGTCCGTAGGTCTTCCAGAAGTCCTTTTGCACTGACGCAATGCTGGGGGTGGTGCCAGTCTGCTGTCCAACACCAGCCAGGATGTTGAGCCATGCTACGACAGCCCATAGACCGTCCTTCTCACGGATGTGGTTGCTGCCAGTTCCGAAACTCTCCTCACCGCAAATGTTCATCTTGTCAGAGTCAAAAAGACCGCAGAAGAACTTCCAGCCAGTGGGCACCTCGTAGCACTGGACGCCCTTCTTCTTGGCAACCAGGTCGATGGCACCGGAGGTAGGCATACTACGTGCGAGACCGTAGATGCCCTGCTTCTTGAAGTATGGGATAAGCTCGGCGTGGTGTGCAATGATGGCCAAACTGTCACCGGGGGAAACGAATGAGTTTGCGCCGTAGATCATGTTTCGGTCGCCGTCACCATCACTGGCAGCACCGAACTGAATGCCGTTCTTGTCAACGGCGTCGACTAGCGACTTGGCGTAGACAAGGTTGGGGTCGGGGTGGTGGCCACCAAAGTCTGGCTTGGGGACACAGTTTTGTGTGCTGTTGGGGATACCGAGCTCCTTCTCGAAGATGTCGACACCATATGAGCCAGTGACACCGCTCAGACCGTCAAAGAGAACCTTGAAGTCGGAGTGCTCCTTGAGGAACGACTTGATGAGGTCAAAGTCGAAAATGTCCTTGAGCATCTTGAGGTAGTCCTCAGTGGAGTGGACAATCTCAACCTCGAGGTTTCCATACTTTTGCGTTCCGATTGTGCTGAGGTCGATGTCGGGGATATCGGCGATCTTGTAGGAAGTGAGGGTCTTGGAGGTCTCGTAGATCTTGTTGGTTACGCTCTCGGGCGCTGGCGCACCATTTGCAAGGTTGTACTTGATACCAAAGTCCTCCTCGGGACCTGCGATCTATTAGGCCAAGCTGCATCTAGGTTACTGGTGATGGCTACTTACCTCCGGGGTTGTGGCTGGCTGTGAGGAGGATACCACCAGTGGCTTTCCGTATCCGAATGATGTGACTAGCGGCGGGTGTGCTCATGATGCCATTCTGACCGATCAAGAGCTTCTTGACGCCATAGGCAGCACCAATCTTGGCAATGGTTTGGGTCACCTCAGGGTTCCAGTACCGACCATCACCACCGACAACGAGGAATGAGCCCTCGACGCCTTCTGGGATTGACTGGAGGATACTGGTGACGAAAGCCTCTGAGTAGTGTTCTTGCTGGAAGACCTTGACCTTCTTGCGGAGACCAGAACTGCATGATGAGTTAGCAAGGTTGATTCGGCGGTATAGCTCTATACAGCTATCCAAGCTCAACCATAGAGCATCTACTTACGTTCCGGGCTTCTGGTCCTGGAAGGGCTTCAATTCGACAGTTCGGACGCTCATGTTGATTGTGTATGTACTTGAAGCTGTTTGGGTTCAAGTTGGAGCAATTGAAGAGAGTAAAGGGGTGGCAGCGGGCAACTTTTGAGCTGGGGACTGAGGGGCAGCTCCCCCACCACGCGGGATGACGCCGGCGCTAGCTCACGACGGAAAGCACGACGCCACGTTGACCATGATCGCGAGTTTTTCTTTCGTCAATTCCCAACAGTCGCTGCAACTTGGCGCTAAAGCTGCAGTTCGGGGTCGAGACGCTTCACAATTCCACTTGGCTGGTCCGTCTTTGGCCCTTCTCCACAGGGGCTTCGCTAGGCCATGGCAAATGTCTTACCCCAACAACACTAGCAGCCCTGTCTTTACCATCTGAAGAGATCCTGCACAACTCTCAACTTCTGCACTGCGCCTCAACACAATGGGCATCCAGGGACTCGCTAGACGTCTTGAGCCTTACGCCACGCGCTATTCTCCCAAGCAGCTGCACGGCTATTCTGCCGTCATCGATGGGCCTGCACTCGCCTACTATGCTCACAGGCTGGCTCTCGCTACATGCGCTAGTGCAGCGAGAATCCCATCCTATTCAGATATCAACGCCGAAGCCATTCGTTGGCTGAAGTCACTGGAGTCCATCAACATCAACGTGTGAGTGTACCGTCGTTGCTTTTCTCGCCCGGTCAGTATCCACAGCAGAGCGGTATCGAAGACCATGGAATTTCGCAGCAAAGCCAATGAGGTGCGCACAAATGTGTTTCATTCACCGCCATTGTCCTGATGAACAGAATTATCTGCTCCCATGCAATTGACCGCCATCTGCATAGTTATGCAATCTCGAGGCAATCTGTGTAATCTGCCATCCATTGCTAATTGCACGTTCTCAGGGCGGCCATCTTCTTCGACGGAGCTCTTCCTGAATCTAAGCGAGTGGAGAGACTATCGAGGACTGAACATAACAACCGGCGCGTGCAGCAACTTCGCAAAACGTATGCAGGAATAACATGTCCAATACCCACATACCTGGGCGCGATATCGTATGCATTCCTGGCACCAGCACTGCGAGAGGCATTACAAGCCTCGAACTTTTCCGACAAGACCCACGTCGTGCCTGGAGAAGCTGACGACTGGTGTGCCTTGCATGCGAAAGATAATGCGCGATCAATCATCTTCACCAGTGATTCGGATCTTGTTCTTTACGACTACTGTGTCGATACGCTGATTGTATTCCTTCACGACGCCGATATATCCGCTGATCTGAAAGCATACTCGCCTGGTGAAATACGAGAGAAGTTGCAATTAAGCAGCCTGGTACCTTTCGCTTTCGTTGTCAATGAGGGCCCTCAGAATACCGCACAGAAGCTCCCCCGCCTTGCCCAGGATGTAAATCTCGATTCTGCGCAGTACATGGAATTCAGTAACAGATATGTTGCTCAGGTCGCTGCACCAGTCTCTGTATCCGATAAGAGTGGTTCGCCAGTCGATTTGCCCCAGCTAGACGTTCGGACGTCAGAATTTGTACATCAAGTACTGGAGGGTGCTCAAAATCCACTCGTATATATGCCTTTGTTAGTCGAAGATCCCGATCTAGCATCAGCCTGGAATTCGGGCTGCGATATTCGCAAACTAGCGTACTCGCTGTTGGCACCTAGTAACATGGTTGTGCTGGAGTATAGGCGGAAGGCGCAGGGCATTGCTGCGCAAGAGATGCCTACATATCAGGCAGGTGACGTACCGGCTCCAGTTGCTGAATTAGAACAGCAAGTCAGTATGTTGGCAGAGTGGGCCGCTCTGAAGGAGATTGGCCCAACGCTTTTCTGGCCACTTTTCGCACTTAGTCTTGTCCTCGCCGAAGGGAAGAGCCCTCCTACGACTGACTTGGTACTGCGCATAGTCAACGGCGTGTTCGATGAGACGTGGGCTTTTGTGCATCTCGCAGCTCGAATACAAGCAGCTCTGTATTCACTGCGTATGTTTGGTCAAATTGCAAAAGTATGGCTATTGCTTAATCCCACACCGGGCACCAAGCTCTATGACTTGCTCAGCAGTCTGGACAAGCACATGGAAAACTTGCCTCCGATGCCCGAATTATTTGGCGTACCAGGACAGGCAAAGCGAGTCCTGGCCAAGCATGAAGAACTAGAAAACTTAGTTGATGAGATTTACAAATCGGTTGGCATTGAACTACCTACCGAGATTATTTCGAACAAAAAGAAGAAGCGGCTGGCGAGGGAAGCAGATAGAAAGAAGAGGAAAGCCGAGCAGAGGCAGCAGATGGCTAATGCAAATACTGGGTCGTAGTCACGGTCAGACAAAAAGACTGTGTTCTAGCATGAACATGTACAACTGCACCCTCACGCCGTGAAGACTTTTTTACAATACACGTTGGAAACGATCATAGGGCAGTATTCGGATGTTTTAAACAACAGACTAAATATCGAGCCCATTACTCCTCACGGCCCAGTAGAACATGGTCACACTTTTTTATACTAAAGAGGGTAATTGCAATCCACAGCACAGTCATCCAAAGATCCCTTCTTCGTTTTTTGCGTCCCTCGTCAAAGTAGAAGATATCCATCTTCTCCTCGCATTTTCATATACAGGTCTCCAGCCAGGAGCGTTCATGAAAGTTGTCTCGAGCGATTTACTTTTCGAGAAAGCTCAGGAACACAGTCATATGGTCAAGCCAATCTGATTTTCGAAGAGTAGAATCTACGCAGTATGCATCAAGAAGGAAGAACACAAGCCTGTCCATCTGTTTTAATAATAACAAAGAGTATACACTACGCTAACTTCATGTCAACCCATGGATTTTTAAACACCCGCCTCAGGAAAACGACCGGATATCAAAATCGCCGCAGTCTTTCTTGGGAAGAAGTCGGCCATCTTTGTGCATAATTATGTTAGGAACATAGTAGAAGAAGAGGCAGACGACCTGCTATAAATCTAGATATATAAATTTTTAAGAGAAACCGGTGTTCATTTTAGAAAGATAGTAAGAAGAGAGGAGGACGACCGGTCATATGCCGAAAGCGGTTTCTTTTAAAAAGAACAAAATATCGATGTTTCATGAACAAGAGTGGTAGAGCGAGAGAAATATTTGTAGCCCGGCCGAGAGCCGCACTTATAGTGACGTTTGGTTTTAGATTTTAGAAGTAATGGGAAAACTTAGAAAGAAAGGAGGAGCATGGATGGGTGCTTGCATCTTTTCGGTACTCATGAACACCTCACGATGTTTTTATGGGATACCGCTCAGGGGAGAAAGTCATTCCACATTTTTAGTCAATGTTTTAGTTTCAGATAGGAAGTAATAAGGCCAGGAAAAGACTCAAGTCATGAGTTTTTGCTGAGGATATCTTAGTACGAGACCATTTTGAGTATGTGTAAGGAAGAGAAGGAAAGCAGGAAGAAAGCAGGAAGAAAGCAGGTTTTTATATCCCATGCTCCCGGCGGATGTTTAGCGCAAGACCGAGCCCCCCGTTCTTCTCCATCACCAAAGTTAGATGGGCATTTCTCATGGTTCTGCGATCCTGGAACTTGGTCTCACATATCGTTTAGGCATGTATTCCTTAGACTGACCCAAAAGAAGAAAGAAGAGAAAAGCCGTAGATTCTTGAGGTATTTGATTTTGGAGTCTGCCTCGTTCATTGGCTCTTTGACCAGGCGTTTTCAATAAGTAGAAGATAGAAGAGAGGGAGGCGATGGCACATTTTATCCGCCGGCTCTGCTTTTCTAGAGATAAGAAAGTAGAAAGAGTTTTGGAGGTTTTTGTCATGATGTTGGAAGCGAGGGAGACAGAGTCGGAGTTATCCAGCACTGCCTTTTCAATTTTTGGAAAGATAAAAAGATAGAAGAGTGTGTAAGAGGAAGAAGAGAGGGTGAGCAGAGGTAGTTTTATATTGAGCCAGAAAACGGACACAACCATCGAGAGAGGCAACGTGGTTCTGGGCCTCCGTATTGAAGATGAGCATGGTATGTGTGATGGTGAATTTCGGAGAGTTTGGAAAATGCCCACATGATAGTGCGTTCGCACTCTGCTTTTCTAACACCTTGGCCAGTCATCTAGGTACGGTTTCATTGGAGATAATAACAGAAGACGCACTCCCAGTCATGAATTTGGGCCATAGAAGTTTTAGGAATTCTATGAATTCTATTAAGCGCAGAAGAATGGAACACATGAAAGCAGTATCTCACGATTTTAGAAATATAGAGAGGACACTATGATAGAGGAAGAGAAATGCGCAGCGGCAAGCATTTATACACGTCCCCGCTACGACAAAGGTCATAGTGCGTTTTTCTGGCATCTTCTAGACTTTTCATGTCATCGGAAAATTTGAAGTGTACCAAGATCTCCAACACAGTCCTTTTATACTCGCGAGATTCGAGCAAGGCATGTGTTTGAATGAAGTGCTTTTCGAATTTCCGCATAGAGCAACATGTCAGCCCGTATTTGCATTTTTCAAAGGACCTTACCCCACATATCTTTGGAAGTCCACTTATCATACAACGGCTGTCAATGGAAACGATGCACGGGTATCCGCCTCAGTCCACTCAAATCCAAGGAGGCCTCGCAAATCCAAATGCTTGAGCATCTTGCAATCAGCCTTGTGACGTCTCTCATTCCAGCCGATCTTTTGGCACTCCTTTGCAGAAAAAATGTTAGCAATATTACAGAGAAGTATAACAGTCATCAATAGTTTTACCTTTCCACAGTACTAAAACATCGAGCATCTACCACGCTTTGTCAAATCTTTCGTTTTTTGTTACAGCCGTGGCAAGTTCTATTTCCCCCAGCCTTGTCAGCAAATTGCTGTACTCGGTCACTGAGCTCCAGCAGCGTCTTGAGTGGCGTTGGAAAGATCTGGTGTCAAGTCAGCACAGTTGCATGTTAGTTCATCGTGGAGGACGTACCTTGAGCATCTGGGGATTTTCGTGACGTATGCCAGGATTTCCATACACGAAGCGATAACGCTGTGCGTAAAGAATAGCAACCGTGTAACCGACTCGGAGTTGAGCAACGTCAACTTCTTGGCCCCGCTGCTCGGTGTAGAAGTGAAGTGGCAGTTTCTTGTCGTCAGAATCTACAAGTTCTAGTTCTAGGTGTGCGAGGCTGGAGAAGTTAGTTATCTCGCCCAAAAAGCACCAGTGCTTTAGCGGCTGGTCGATGTTGACAGATTCTTCATGGACACCATAAAAGCCGCCTTTGTTAGGCAGACCCGCGAAACTCGGGAAAGCTGCCCGGTCTCGGAAACCCGTCGAGCACTGCATCTTTTCCCCATACGCTTTCGTCCATCTACGCCACAGCCAGTCATCAAAATCACTTTGATTGAGTCCTTGCGGAACTTCATCCACGGATGTTTTCCACTCCATGGATAGGCCGTCCAACGAAAGTTTAGCCGGATTCTTGCACAAATCACCATACTCAAGCACCTCTTTACGGTCATTTCCACCACCTGCTCGCCATCCATCCACCGCCCTCTCTGCAAAGATGCGTCCTCGCGCCAGATCGCCCTTGGCAATAGCAACTTTTGCTGCATCCATGTATGTCCGCGAGAGTCCGGCATCGCCAGATATCTGTTCCTCGTAGAGTCGGATACGTTCTTCGGCGTAACGAAAAGTACGTAGGGAAAAGTTCATCGCCATACCGTCGCGACCGATAAGTTCGTCTAGCTGGTCGATTCTGGCTAAGCGCTTGTCACTTTGCTCACTTTGCTCTTCGGGTAAAGAGCAGAGCTTGCATGAACACAGGAACCCGAACTTGTCTTGCAGTCGCTTTCGGCGAATTTCGCGAGCGCTATCACTGTTCAGGTAATATATTATTGTTTCCTAGCCTTTGGGTATCTCGCGCAACGCATGAACAGTGTGTCGTTTGATACGCTGATTCCAGCTTTTCTGCGCATTGTTGTCACATGTATGGTTGATTCGGCAGGCTTGTAGAAAGATACCTCCTTCAACACCCTTCGCCTCCACGAGTAGCGCGTTGGTGCGAATGATACCGAGACATTTTTCCGCATTGTTCGAGTATGGATAGATGTTGTGCAGGGAAAGTAGTGATTCTCGTTGCTACTCATTGAGGAAGTTCATCTGCTGCACGATCTGGGCTTTGAGCAAGTTATCTTTTAGGGGGCTGTCCGGTATCGCGATAATCGGTGTCTCCTCGAGTATTCGAGTGCCCCTAGGGATATCTTCAACTGCGACTAGGCCTTTGCCTTTCCCAGGCATATCTCTCAAGGAATACATTGGCGCTATATGAAGGCGTTCGAATATCCAGGTTTGAGGGATGAGTGAACCCAGAGCTATAGACCTAGACAGGACCCGCGCTTCTTAAGTTCGCCAGGCAGCACTGGGCCCCCTGCCGAGTGTGGTGCCACAATGAGGGGTACAAGTTGTGAGGGCCAATACAGTAGACTCTCTCTCGACCCACATACATTGCAGTTTCACCCTACATGCAGCTGTGCATACGATTTTTTAGCCTGCATGCTCATTTTGAGATTAGTTTGGGCTGGAAATAGACTCAGTAGTCGTAGTCAGTAGTAGTAGCATACAATTTTAAATAGTCCCACATTCTGTATATAGCTTAGCGCTAGATATCCTCTGCTGAACAGTTAACGTGTTGTACAAGCGAGTGGGCCAGACAAGCGAGTGGGCCACCCCACCAACTTTGATCACCCACCTCACCTTTGCACGCAATGCCTCTACCAAAACAATCCCAAAAAGCTTCTTATGAAGATGATATACACACGGCAGTTTCAGCTCTTAACCAGAATCAAATTCAGTCTCATAGAGATGCCGCGCGGACGTTCGAAGTCTCCCGAATGACGCTTACGCGCCGACGCGCTGGAAAGCCTGCCCGACGCGATTGCCAGCCCAACTCAAGGAAGCTCACACAGAGAGAAGAGGAGGTGATTGTTAACCATATACTTAGCTTAGATCAGCGTGGATTTGCGCCTACGTACGAAGCTGTACGTGATATGGCTGATAAGCTGCTGGCTGCACGTGGCGCTGGCCAGGTTGGTATCCACTGGCCAGCCAACTTTGTCAAGCGTACAGATAGTCTCACGACGCGTTTCAATCGAGCGTACGATAGGCAGCGAGCTCTGTGTGAGGATCCTGTACTAATCAAGAGCTGGTTTGAGCTGGTAGAGCAGACGAAGGCCAAGTACGGCATCTGCGATGAGGATGTCTACAACTTTGACGAAACTGGCTTTATGATGGGCAAGATTACAACTCAGCTTGTCGTGACAGCGTCAGAAAGGAGAGGCAGGCCAAAGACTATCCAGCCAGGCAATCGCGAGTGGGTGACGTTGATCGCTGCGATCAACGCAGCTGGCTGGTCAGTCCCACCGTTCCTCATCTTTGCTGGCCAGTATCACCTATCTGCTTGGTATGAGGACCTCCCACGCGACTGGGCGATCGCAGTCAGCGACAATGGCTGGACCAACAATAAGCTAGGAGTTGAGTGGCTAAAGCACTTCAACGCTTACACAAAGGCTCGTGTTGTAGGCGCGCGTCGCCTGCTTGTCCTTGATGGCCATGAGAGCCACCAGTCGCTTGAGTTTCAAGAGCTCTGCAAGGAGAACAACATCTACACGCTCTGTATGCCACCTCATTCATCTCACCTACTCCAGCCGCTTGATGTTGGCTGCTTCTCGCCATTGAAGCGGGCGTACAGCCGTGAGGTGGAGAGCCTGATCCGCCACCACATCAACCACATCACCAAGCTTGAGTTCCTGCCGGCCTTCAAGGCAGCATTTGATCGAGCGTTCACGCCAGCCAATATCCAATCATCTTTCCGCGGCGCAGGCCTTGTTCCTCTACAGCCAGATGCTGTTCTATCAAAGCTCGATGTGCAGCTGCGTACGCCTACTCCAGCTGCTCTACCAGAGGCTCCCTGGGAGGCTCGTACGCCGAGCAACGTACGTGAGCTTGAGTCTCAATCAAGTCTAATACGCGAGCGCGTGCGCCGGCATAAGAGCTCATCACCAGCTTCGATTATTGAGGCGATTAACCAGCTCAAGAAGGGAGCTGAGGTGATGATGCTCTCGGCTGAGCTGATGCGCGATCGGATCACCAGCCTTGAGAGAGCCAACAAGGCAGCGTCAGCGCGTAGGCAGCGCAAGAAAAAGAGACTACAGCAGCGTGGAGTCTTAACAAAGGGAGCTGCAGAGGATATACTAGCTCAAAATGAGGCTGACCAGCAGATTGCTTGTGAAGAGCGTCAAGGAGGAGCGCGATTAGGCCTTAGCCAGCGCGCTCAAAGGCGCTGCAGTAGGTGTAAAGAGACTGGGCATGACTTACGTACGTGCAAAAAGGATAGTTAGATACTACTTAATCTACTCTATATATATCTATAGTTTGTATAATCGCGTTGTTGAGTTAAATCGCTTTGAAGATGCGAAAGTTGGTGGGGTGGCCCACTCGCTTGTCTGGCCCACTCGCTTGTCTGGCCCACTCGCTTGTACAACACGTTAATGTAATTGGGTAACTAGTTGTTAATTTAATAATAACTAGTTTACCAAGAAATAAGCATGGTGATAACCCCGTTATCACTACGCTTATTTCTTAGTACACTATAATGAGTTTTGTCACGGCTTTTTTGTTATAGAAGAGGCAGAGGAAAAGCACACCATCGTCCGATGGATTGTCGGGACATGCGCGCACAGCCAGCCCGGCGAGTTTTTCCGGGCCGGAAGCTTGGACCACTAGTTAGACCAAGCTTCCCGCTTAGCTCGCAACCGTACATATGGAGATCTCTCCATCCAGCTCTTGCTCACTACTAATCAAATACTATACACTTTGTTCGTTGCAACGACTGCTAGTATTCGACACCTTTGCCGTGTCAACAGATAGAGAGTTTTTGGAGGGGTCTAGAAAAGACGGGAGAGGCACAGCTTCGACCAATAAATAGAGGATCTTCGAAAAGTTTTGGAAAACACGGGATAGAGACACACTCCATGTGTCGAAAGGATCATTATTTCGGAATAGAAAGAATAGAATTGTGACAAAGGAAACAGGAACTACTGACGGAAGGAAAGCTTTTATATCCTCGCCTTGGCTCGTGCGTGCCCCATTTCTGCTCACACACGCATGCGAATATACGGAGGATGTCGGAGTTAATCTTAAAAAAAAACAAGATGGCTGTATTGATTTTAATAAAGAATAAGACATCTCAAACTTAATAGAGAGTTATTCTCGATACAGGTACTATAACAGTAGTTACTTAGTCTTACTCTATCTTCAAAAAGCCTCTCCTAAACTCTACATATGTCGTGTATAGTATACAAAATCATAAAGTAGAGAATCATTTATCTCTTCTTGCAAGACGGAATCAGCCAGTTGAATCGAATAAGTCGGGCACGCCAGCTCTATGAGATCCAGACTCCGCAACAATCAATCGATTGACATGATTGATTCCTATATAGGTTAAAGAATTACTTCATTAGGCAGCCTTTAACCTAGATAGGAATCAATCATGCCGATCCGATTGATTGTTGCGGAGTCTGTACGGAGGAGCCTTTCAAAAGTCCTTGCCCACCTTGGCGAGCAGAGGTATCAGCCACATTCTGAATTCGAACATATCTCCGAGCTAACGTGGCATTTCTATTCAATTTCATGCTGTCGTCGCTCTATCTTCTACACCTAATTATGGCTCTTTACGATATCTCTACTCGTGCCCTTGTTGTTTCTTTAAAGGCTACTCGCAAGTCGAATGAGATTACCTTCTTAACTAGTATCAAAAAGCGGACGATTAACGATATATTTGCTCAAGCTATTAAGCGTGGCTTCGATCCCTGCTAACGGCCTATTAAGATGCAAGACAAGTATCTTGAAGATGCTTCTTGATCTAGTCGGCTATTAAAGCAGGGAGAGTTCCTAGAGCAAGTAGTTAATAGCGTACGCACTAATCGCTATAGACGAGAGAAGTCTTGCGCTAACATTGCTGGCGCGCTTAGCTAAGAGGGAGTTAATATCTTAGATATTACAGTGTGGCGAATCTCGAAGAAAGTAGGCTATAGAAAGACGAAGCCAACGAGGAAGCCTAGGTTGACAAAGAAGATAAAGGAAGCTCAGCTTAAGTAGTATCTTAAGTATAAAGACTAGATAACTAAAGACTAGAAGAACGTTATTTAGTTTAATAAGACGTCTGTTATCTTGAATCATAGACGCTGAGGCTATCGAGTATAGAGACAGGTAGATAAGGCCTTCGTCCGGAGCTGTATTCGTGAGAGATGGAAAGGCTACTCTAAGTTTATGTTCTAGGGCTGCTTCTCGTATAATTAGAAAGGTCTATGTCACTGCTGGTCGCCAGAGACAAAGAAAGAGAAGGAGGCTGCTTCTGCTCAGATTAATGATCTTAATCGAGACCTCAAGCTAATTATGAGAGCTTAGTAGGAGCTTAAAGTAGATATGCGTCGGCTTAACCTACGTAACAAGCTGTTACGATTGCAAGGAGGAGGACAAGCAACAACGGCAGGACAACGTTGAAGGCGGGGCACAGCGGGTAAGCTTGTGCCGCGCAGTCACGTGACCTGCCCTCCAACCTTGGCATGACCGCCATGGAGGGCACGACCTCCACGGAGGGTGCGACCTCCATGGAGGGAAAGGCCACAATGGAGGGCACGCTTATTATATAACAGTAGGCAATGAGCCCTTACGGTTCATTGTGTTCAACTTCGAAATCTAAGGATTAGTACTTGATTCTCAACTCCCCGTATATTACATCGATCTACCAATCGTGCTATACAACCTCGTGTCCATCGCATCACTCCATCCCCGAGAACCAACCCAAGATCATCTTCGGACGACCTTCACACAAGCCTAGACAGAAGCCTTAATAGAAATGGACCGCGAAAACTAGGAAGCTTAGCCGAAGCAGAGGCTTAGGCATTAATTAGTATTAATATTAGATAGTTGTTCTACTGCTAAAGCTTATACCTTTTGCGAGGTAGTGTAAGGCTAAGCGTTCTAGAATAGTCGTCTAAGAGGATAAGGCACCTGCTTATAATCACTACGTACAGGCGTATATATACAACCTATACGACGTTGCGAGGCTACTCTAGTGTGG